CATTCTTTTCTTGAGTCACAGAGAGTTGCTGTCTTTATCTTTCCCCTACCCACCTGCCATGACTTCTCAGGAGCTACTTGAAATCCTGCCCAAGTCACATGGCCTTATCATACATGTAAAGGTCAAAATAGATGGGCATGTGGAGGCAGGCTCTTTAAGAGTATGCAGCCCTGCTTTTGGAAAAGACACCCCCCTTAGATTTGGGACCAGATCCTCCTCTTCCTCCTCCTCTCCTCCTCCTCCTCCTCCTCCTCCTCCTCCTCCTCCTCTTCCTAGTCAGGGACATGTAGCCCAGGCTGACCTTGAATGCCATAGGTAGCCAAGAATGACTTTTTTTCCTGCTGCCACCTCCTGAGTGCTGGGATTATAGGAATGCACCTGTAAACCAGACCGTGCCTGGTTTATGCCACACGGAGGAACAAACCCAGGGCTTTGTGCTTGCCAAGCAATCTCTCTCCCCACTGAACTACATCCTGACCCTGGGACCAGGTTCTCAGATGTGGTCAATAGGAACAATATCCCTGCTCTTCCCTCGGGCTTTTGACTGTTTCCACCTGTGCTGGCCAGAATGCTAGGACCCACAAAGAGGAGAGTGGTTGGTGGTGGCATGCTGAGTCTCCTGGGCAGTTTGTGAGTGACCTCTTCTGGTTAGCCAGAAGCCTTACTCCTTGACATGCAACCACCCTTGCTATCAGATCAGCTTCCTTATCTCCCACTCTTCCAGATAAAGTCAACCACTCTGGCTTGTTTTTAGCAAGTATCTTGTCGGGTTGGTTTAGCCTGGCTCCTCTTACCTCTTAGGGATTTTCCAGCTACTAGCCCTCAATGTGCTCCATTTGTCTATGTCACAGCTATCACATTGGCCCTGAATTAAGTATTCTCTGTTGTGTGTTACACAATGATTTAAAAGCAAGGATGTGCTTAGCTAACTCACACAAAGGAGCAAATAATTAATTATACATGCTCCTTTCTGGAGACTTTGCATTTTAATAAGCATCCAGCACTTTAGTTCACTTCAAAACTTTTAAAAGATTTATTTATTTTGTATGCATGAACATTTTGCTTGCATCTATGTATATGCATCATGTGTGTGTAGTACCCCAAGAGCCCTGTAGAGGGTGCCCTAGAACTGGAGTTAACAGATAGTTGTGAGTTGACATGTGGGTATTGGGAATGGAACCCAGGTCCTCTGCAAGAGCTCTTAATTCTGAGCCATCTTCCCAGCAACCCCCACACTGGATTTTTTTTTTTAAGTAGGAAAGAAAAAAGCAAACACTTGAAAAGAAGTCTGATAGATCAAAGAGAAGCCCCTAGGAACCACATTTTCTGACGGAGGACCTTCTTAATGTCCCAAAACCCGAGACAGCCTGTTCCACATGCATCAAAGTCAGAAGGCCATGTGTTTCCTTGTCCATAGCCCTGGTGGAAAGTACAGTCAAGATTGTAGGAGTCTGTTCACTGAAGCCAGGTACATCAGCAGACTGGTGAATTCAGAACTGGAACAAGGGCTTGGATGTAGCTCAGGTAGTAGAGAGCTTGCCTAGTATGCTAGAAGTACTAGGTTTTATTCCAGAACCCCATAAACTGGGTGTGGTGGTGCATGCCATAATGAGCACTTTGGAGGTGAGGGCAGGAGGGTCAGAAGTTCACGGTCATTCTGTGTATCTAATTTAAGGCCAGCCTGGGCTACACAAGATCCTTTCCCCAAAAGATAGAATATTAACATTATTTGCTTTTTCAATTTGGAAGCAAATCACTTTCATTAGCTAAGGGCCCAAACCTAACTAATACTGTATTTAAAAAAAAATACACTTACTGATTTCTTATATATGAATTTGCATCTTTTATTTGATAATTTAATACATGTATAGAATGTATCTTGATCCTACCCACCCCCCAACTTCCCCCTCTCACTTCCCCCCAGTCAGATTGTGTGTGTGTGGTGCCCAAGGAAACAAAAAAGAGGGTGTCAAATCCCCTGGAACTAGAATTACAAGTGGTTATGTGGTTACAAGCCATTGTGTGTGTGCTGGAAAGTGAACCGAGGTCTTGTGCAAGAACAGCAAGTGCTGTTAGCTGATAAGTGATCTCTGCAGCCCCCAAAGTGTATTTCTTTATGAGACCGTAAAGCAACTCTGTCCCCCCTCCCACTGCCTCACCGGTTTACCCAGCATTGAACTTAACATTTCCTGAAATTTGAGCTAACACCAGAAAGCTACATATCTGCTTCCCTGGTTAGTCTTCACTGTCAACTTGACAAAGCCTCGAGTCATCTGAGAGGGGAGCCCCAACCCAGGAACTGCCTAGATCAGATTGCCCTATGAGCATGTCTGTGGGGGATTCTCTTGACTGTTAGTTGATGTAGGAGGATCCCACCCACTGTGAGCAGCACCATTCCCTGGGCAGGTGATCCCAGGCTATCTAAGAAAGCTAGCTGAGCCTGAGCCTGTGAGCAAGCTAGTTAGCAAGCAGCATTCTCCATGGCTCCCACTGTATTTCTTGGCTGTGAAATGAGTTTCTGGATTGGAGTTAATGATGTGTGGAATAGTGAGCAGGCCTGCCTTGAGCTTCCTCTTTGACTTTGCTCCCTGAAGGACTGAGAACTGGGTTTATAAAATAAATCTTTCCTTTTCTAAATTGCTTTTGGTCAGAGTATTTTATCACAACAGGAGAAAGGAAACTGTAACACATACCATACAGGTCGCCACCTTCCCCTTTCATAGGTCCTATGGTACCACAGGGCCATCAGTGTGGTTCTTCTCTTTTTGAGATGAAGTCTTGTTATGTATGCCAGGTTGGCCTTGGACTTGTAGAGATGCTCCTGCCTCAGCCTCCCACTTGCTAGATTTCATGCATGTGCCAACCAGGCCTGGCTTCTGAACATGAGCTTTTGCTTACTTTCTTTACAGTTCTGTAGGAACTCTTGATTGGGACAGCAGAAGGTGGGAGCAGCACAGTGCCTTGCTTTTATTTTCAATGTTGTGGATAAAACCCAAGGCTTTCTGCATGCTAAGCCAGTGGGGCTCTTGCAGCTGTCCCCTCCTCCCATAAGAAAGCAAAGGGGAAACTTCAGAAAGTGTGAAACTTAATTTCCATTGTGGGGACTAGACACCAAGCAACACTAATAATTTGTTTCTGTCAACTCACCTGTATAATTTGTGTGTGTGTGTGTAGACAACTTGCCCGAGTCGGCTCTCTCCTTCCACAGTGTGGGTTTGAGAATTGAACTCAGGTTGTAAGGCTTGGCAGTAAGCACCTTTACTGATGAAGTCATCTCACTAGCTATAATTTTCCTTCCAAAGGTTATGACAGTCTTTGAACCATTGAAATCAGTGGTTCTAGCCAGGCATGGTGACTTACACATGTAATCTCAGCATTTGGGAGACTGAAGCAGGAGGAATGCCAAGAGTTTGAGGTCAGCCTGAGCTATACAGAGTGAGCCTTTGTCACAAAACAAACAAAAATCAGTGTTCTTAACCAGAATTAAATATCACCTCCAAGAGACCATTCCAATATTTGAAGACATTTGGGGATGTCATAACTTGGCACGGGAAGGAGTTTGTACTTAAGGTGCTTCTAGCGGGTGGCAGGTAGACAGTCTGGGCACACAATAGGCCAGTCTTCCACAGCAAGGAACCGTCTGGCCCCAGATGCCAGAAGTATGAAGAAACCTTGAGCTAAGCAACCCAAAAAGGAAGAATCATTTCCTGTTATCCAACTAGCTCAACAAATGGACTCTTTTTCTTTTCTGTGCTCTTCCCAATCAATCTCCACCATGCTGTGAGTATATGTATTTCCATAGTCATGGTAGAACTATATCCTACTTTTCTTCACTTGACATTACATTCTGAGATGCGGGCCCACTTGCCCCAGTGTTTTGTTGGTTATTGTGTGCATGAGTGCATGTGTGTTTATCTGCAGGTCAGAGGTCGACATTGGGCATTTTCCTCATTGCTTCACCACCTTGTCTACCTATTCATCTATTGAGGCAGGGTCTCGCTATGTAGCCTTGGCTGGCCTGGAGCTTGCTACATGGACCATGCTGGCCTCGAACTCACAGAGATCTGCCTGACTCTGCCTCCTGAGGCATGTGCTACCACACCCAGCTGCCACTGTATTCTTTGAGACAGGGTTTCATCCTAAACCCAGAGCTCACCAATTGGCTAAAATAGCTGACCAGCAAGCCCCGGGGGAACCTTATGTCTCCACCTCTCCAGCATTGGAATTACAGGCCATCACTGCTTCCCATGCTTGGTACTTTACCCTGGTGCTTGAAATCCAAACTCAGGTCCTCATGATTGCACAACAGACCCTTCACCCATTGAGCCATCTCCTAGCCCTTCGGTTGCCATTTTTAATGGATATAATACGATACTTCAGACAATTCAATACCCCAGGTCTTACCCGGCCAGTCTGTTTCTTACTGGAGGTGTTGGGGGAAAAAGAGCAGTGCTTACTAGGTGGCCTCCTGGGGACTGTGGTTCCCCTGCTGTGGCCAGCCTCCTCTTCCCACAGTCTAGGCTTTAGCATCACTGGCTTCATCATCAAAAGGCCTTTATGAAGCGCCTTGTGAATACATCATCCCACCGGGAGGCTCTTCTGCAGAGATTCCCCTCCCAGCCTCTGACATCCAGGGCAGGCTGGCTCAGGCAGACAGCATACATGCGAGCCAACCACGAAGTCATCTAAAGACCAGGCCATAGGCCTCAGGCAGAGTGCAAACACGGACTCTTAGACAACATTCATGACAAGGGTAAGCATAGCTGGGAATGCAAAGCCAGACTGCACTCCCAAAGCCAGCCTGGCCCTTGGATCCCAACTGGGCGGGACTTCTTAGAGGGCAGAGGATCTTAAAAGCAACTGGGAAGAGAGTGGACAAAGGCAGGAAGGGAGAGAACCAGGACAAGGAACTGTTCAGTCACCCAGGAAACTTGATGCTAGCCAGAGACACCCTTCCCTTTGTCTCACCTCCTTGCCCCTTCCTTGTCTTTACTCCACAGGTGTTCCATGAGCAGGGCATCCTCTTTGGCTACCGACACCCACAGAGTTCCGCCACTGCCTGTGTCCTCAGCCTTTTCCAAATGACCAATGAGACCCTCAACATCTGGACGCACCTATTGCCCTTCTGGTACCTTCAGTCCCCTGGACAGCCTATCTCATTTGGGATTCCTGGGGACTAGACTTTGTAAGACACACTGGGAGGCAGGGAGGATTTATGCTAGGACCAGGGGTCCCCCTGTGGGTGCAGGTGCACGTACGACAGAGGGGGAGGATGCTGGGACAGTCAGGGACTAAGTGCCAGGCTGTGGATTGCCACAGGAGTCTAGGGTTTCCATTGACTGGGTAGCATTTATCTTCATCCCCTTCAGTCTTACAGGCTTTGGCGGTCTTCAAGAAGTCTTTATTAAAATGTCACTAACTTGAGCAAGTCACTTAATCTCTCTGAGCCAGGCATTTTCTGCCTGTAGAGCAGGCATGATCCTCTGTCTGTGTCTTGGGGCTGCAGCGAGAACTGAGAGAAGGCCCTGATAAAGACAAAGATACAGGAGATAGAGATGTAGCACAGTTTGTAGTATGTTTGCAACAAGCTCTGGTCCCAATCCCTAGCACTGCATAAACCAGGCCCAGAAGCCTCACACTATGAACTCAGGGCCATCTTCATCTACATAGTGAGTTTAGGTCAGCCTGAACTACATAAGACCCTCTCTGAAAAAAAAAAAAAAGACAACAAAAAAGACATGGGTCCAGTTGTGGGTGTTTGTAATTATCCCAGGATTATAGTAACCATATGCCATTAGTCAACTTTAGTGGAGCCAACTAGGAGCCAAGCTCCAGGAAGTAAGGGTGCAGAAATGGGGGTTCCAGGAAGGCCAAGAGGCTCCTTGCTGAGAAAAGTGGGTTGAAGGCCCACTTTACACACCTCGAACCTTTGCTTGGTAACAGAGAGGGGGGACAGAGTCACATCTCCAAATCAAGATGCAGCTCTCCCTGAGTATATGTGGGGATTGGTTCCAGGGTCCCCTAAAGATGCCAGGATGTGTAAGTTCTACATGCATCGGGTGGCACAGTATTTACCTATCTCTCTGCACTTTAAATCATCTACAGATTCCTCACCTGAGGCAAAGTAAATACTATGCCAAAAGTTGTGACACTGTTCAGACAAAAAGGGCAAGAAAAATGTCAGTATATGTTCAGTGAGGAAGCGGTCCCTCCCCGTTGGGATATTTTAGTTGAATCTGAAAAAAATAGAATGTGGAGGTCTGGAGAGTTGGGTATATGTCAGGCCTAGGAGGACCCCAGAGATGAGAAGGTCACTGTCCTACCCAGACCTCTGTGGGCTGACATGATGACAGATGCATCTGGAGAGGGGAAACCTTCCATACCACACACAGATAGCGGCCCTGGGCCAGGCCTGAACAAATCCTTTGAGTCATGTTGAGAAGCTGAGGTAGGTGGAGAGTCCTTGAGTGTGGCAAGCAAACATGAGCCCCAGGAAGGTCCCTGTATTTCAGCATGGAACAGCCAGCCCAACTAGATGTCAGAAGACAGAGTGCAAACCCAGCAACTAACAGGAGGGGAGAGAGAAGACATGATCTTGTGGTGAAGTGGAGTGATCTATAAAGAAGCCTGACTGCCCTGCACCCTGCAGTCAGGGCAGTGGCAGCAAAATCTGGTAGCTCAAGCAGGCCATTAGCCACGTCAAATCTTTGCTTACATAGAAATCAGAGGCTGGCAAGATGGGTCAGTAAGTAAAGGCAATTAGCAATCAAGCCTGGCAACCTGAGTTTGATCTCCAGAACGTAAGTAAAGGTAGAAAGAAAGAACTGACTTCACAAAGTTGTTGTTCTCTGGCCTCTACATAATGTTATATGGCATGCATGTGCGCGCACACACACACACACACACACACACACACACACACACACACACACACACACACACACACCTCCATATACACAGTAATGAATACAAAAAATTTTAAAGACTTTATGCTATCTGAACATGGTGGTACATGGCTGTAATCCCAGTACTTGGAAAGTTGAGGCAGAAAAAATCGTGACTTTGAGGGCCAGCCCTGGCTATACACTGGGGCCCTGTTTCACAGCAATATCAATAACCACCTGTACATGCTGACAAACTGAAGACTGTGGAAGGGAATACATCCAGACTGTTCCTCTGGCCCTCATTCTCATCCCTGGAGCTGCTGGGGCCCCCTGTTTCTGTGTGCCCTCCAGAGCTTTCCCAGAAAACCTTGACTGTGGCATATGTGTGCCCCAGACCCCTGTCATTTCTCCCATGGTCTTCCCATTGCTCATCTCCCTCGAAGATGATGGTGATGATGATGATGATGATGATGATGGTGATAATAATAACTACCATCATCACCATCATCACCATCATCACCATCATCACCATCACCATCATCATCATCATCATCATCATCATCATCATCTGTGCCTGAGACGCCAAAGCTTCTGAACAGGTGTTCTCACCAGAGGATGGGCCATAGTTTGCTTAGGCTTTTTTGTTACCTTGGTTTAGACTTTTGGAGACAGGGTCTCATATAGCCCAGGCTAGCCTTGAGCTCTCCATATTACCAAGGATGATCCTCCTTCCTTTACATGTGAAGTACATGTGCCCTTATGCCCGTCTAGGTTTAGGCTGTTTTGGAATTTGTGACACCATGTAACACCTGCCATGGCTTGTGCATCTTGGTGTGCATGCACAGCTGAGCTGTCTACACTGCTCACAGCTCCTGGTGCCAGCCCAGGCTCTCAGATGATCCACTCCAACAGTGCAGAGCACTATGGAGAACCCAGAAAAATCTGCACTAGGATACCGCAAGCAAATAGGATGAGGAATAATCAATCTGTTGTTGACAAAAGGAAAAAATTGGGGGTGGGGGGACAGCAAACAGCTTAAGTGCCCCCACCCTTGCTAGACCATAGGAGAAAGACCACACTGACAGCCAGAAGGCTTTGTGACCCTCCTTCAGTTATTGGGTGAAGAGATTTGTAGAGTTCCTTTCTTGATGAACACTGTGGGAAAGGGACCTAGCTCTCCAGTAGTGGTTTGTGGAAGGGAGGTGTTGTGTAGGCAGAACTCACATATGGTTGTCGGCCAGGTAAATGTGACTAAGGATGAACTTCCCAATACTCAAAGCTACCATGAAAGGGGATGAGACCCTCATTCTTAGGAGCATGTAAGCTGAGACTGGAGAATATCTTGGGCAAGATGCTGTAGGTAGGATCCTGTTTCTAAGGACTGTCTTCTTACCCTACTTGTCTGTTCCCAACTCACTGCTTAAGTCAAAATGGTACACTCCCACCAGAGCCTCTCTAACACATGTCACTTCATTTAAGTGAAGAGTCACTGGATGGGCCATTTCCCAGTGGGGTGGAAGGAAACAATCAAGAAGAGATTGAGTGGGTGCATATTCTGTTCTAGGTTCTTTGTGTGGAGGTTCGCGACTGCATTGTATATGACAGACATCCAGAATGACAGCTACTCATGGCCCATGCTCGTGTACATGTGTACCAGCTGTGTGTACCCCCTGGCATCCAGCTGTGCACACACCTTCAGCTCTATGTCCAAGAACGCCCGGCATATCTGCTACTTTCTGGACTATGGTGCTGTCAACCTCTTCAGCCTGGGTACGTGAGGCCCTTGCCCTTCCATCCCCTCCACCTGAGACTGCCACTTGTCTGTCTCCCAGGAGATTTGATGGGTTTTGGAAGAGTCATGAGGATGTAGAACCCCTGGCCAGAGCTCTGTAAGAGGCTTGTTCATACCTGCGCTGTCTGTGGATATACCTGACCTGGAGTGTTTGCCAATTCCTTTGGTATAAATGCCCCCTCCTTGCTTCCCTTCCTGTTCTCTGAGTGGCATCACCAGATGTAGAGGTCTAAGTAGAAGCCTCGGTGTAACCTCCAAGGAGTTACATAGTAACTCCATCACACAGATCTGTGTACTCAGTACTTATGACTTTGGTTACTGTAATTTAGTTAATTCTAACTTTTAGTGATGGCTGAGATTAACTATAGGCTTGCAAGGACTCTGAAATGTTCACAGTTTGGCTGACCCCAGCACATCAGGTCTGGGATCTGTATAACTGATAGAGAAAGGAGGATGGAATCACAAACCACATTTGCCCGGAGGCTTAGAGGAATTACACTTTCCCAAAGCGCTGAGAAGTGAAATGGTGAACTGTTGGTGAAGCTGGGTGGTACTGCCCCCATCCTCTTTGACTTTTTTTTTCCCTGGTTAGGAAGCCTTTCCTCCTGCTTCTCTCCTCCACATGGTTATCATCCAACCCTTAGGATGCTGCTGCTGGCTCTTCCTCCCTCCTGGCCGTGCTTTAGCTGTGAAAGCTAGTCACTGTATCTGTGTTTGCGAGATTTTGTCCAGGAGGAGGCTACACTCATCCTTCTTCCTCTTTCTCTTCCTTCACAAGTGTACACCTGCATCTCTCTCTCTCTCTCTCTCTCTCTCTCTCCCTCTCTCTCTCCCTTTCCTTCCCTTTCTTTTTTGAAACAGGGTCTTGAATTTACTATGTAATCAAGGATGAACCTGACTTCTGACCCTTCTGTTCTCATCTTCTAAGTGCTGTGAAAACAGACATGTGTCACTATTGCCAGGTTAGGCAGTGCTATGAATGGGACTCAGGACTGTATGTGTGCCAGGCAAGCCCTCTCTACCTGAGCTATATCCTCAGCTGCTCCCTGGGGATTTTAATACAAGCAAGCATTTTGAGAAGTCCTTCTAGTCCAACTGTGTGCTGAGCCCCCAAATGCATACCCTTTTTTAAAAAGATTTATTTCTATTTGTCTGTGTGCTATGTGTGTACGGGTGCCCATGGAGGCCAGCACGAGCATCGGGTCCCCTGGACCTGGAGTTACAGGTGGTTGTGAGCTGCCTGATGTGGGTGCTGGAAACTGAACTAGATCTTTCAGGCCCTTTTGACACGGCATCAGTCCCGGATCCCGGCCTCGTACCACCAGTCCCAAATTCAGTCTTAGACACATTTCGTAGTTTCTCTAAGCCTTGTTCTCTAGAGCAGACATAGGAGGGTTGTGAACAAATTCAAATGCTTTTGAGTCCGTGTCTATCTCACAGGGTAGCCATTGCTGTGATTGACAGATCACCTTTACCTGCTTCCTGGTCCATCTCAAATACCCATTCCCTACCAGACCCCCTAGGCTCAGGTCAGCTTTGCTTCCTGCTGTATTTTCAGGTAGGTCTGAGGTCCTTTACTCTTGCATTGCATGCAACGCTTGGTGTACACCTTGGCTCCAGTCAGCATCGAAGGAACATCTTGGTCCAGACAGCTCCCTGAGCATCAGGTCTGGAGAAGGGTTCCCTGGTCTCCTGGAGCTGAGCTCCTGGGTGAGTTCTCACAGGAACTCTGTACTGTGCCAGGAAGGGGATGCTCAGCCCTCTCTGTTAGCACTTGTGTTTGTTTACATATGTGTGGCGGTGAGGGGACCTCGGGTGGTCTCACTGGCCCAAGAGTCACTGATTAGGCTAGGATGCCTAACTATTGAGCCCCAGGAACCCATCTGTTCCTGCCTCCCAGCACTGGGATTGCAGATGACTACCATCAGGCTGTGGTCCCTTCAGGTGGCTACCACCAGGCTGTGGTCCCTTCGGGTGGTTGCCACTAGGCTGTGGTCCCTTGCCCCTGTAATCAGCTTTACTAGAGGGATCCACATATTGAGTGGGAGAAAAGGCAGGTTGAATGTGGCCTGTTTCTGCCTCTCGCTGTGAAACCAATGTGCTTGATGTATGAAAACATTGGTTTTCAACTTGTGGGTTGAGACTCTGGTTTATACCCCTTTCACAGGGGTCATTTAAGACCATTGGAAAACACAGATATTATGTTATGATTCATAAGAGTAACAATGTTACAGTTATGAATTAGCAACAAAAATGATTTTATGGTTGGGGGTCATCACAACATGAAGAACTAAAGGACTGAAGCATTAGGAGGGTTAAGAATCACTGTATTAGAATAACATGAACTGGAACCAGTTCCAGCTTCTCCCATAGGTAAGGGCGAGGTCCCTGGACACTCTAAGATAGGAAATAGTATCTGTTGCTCCTCCAGTCAAAACCTTTCACAGCTAGTCTTTCTAGAAGGTGTTGATGTAGCTTCCCCCCTCATACTCCAAAACCCAGAGCCAAACCCCACACTCACTGGTTACCCCCCAGCCCACTGATAGGACATCCCTGTCCTTAGGGATGCCCTCTTTCCTGTGATGCTGAGATTCTCAGGAAGCACCTTCCACAGGAAGATGAGTTTGGTGTCACCATTAGTGGCAGCCTGTGGTTAGAAGCCATGGTTCATCTCCGGGCTGCCTTGGTTTGAAGCTTATCTCTATTTTCTTAATGTGTGACTCCAGATAAATTACTAGATCTCCCTGTGCTTCTATATGCTTATCTTTAAGATAAGTATAGGGCTGGAGAGATTGCTCAAAGGTTAAGAGCATTGGCTGTGCTTCCAGAGGTCCTAAGTTCAATTCCCAGCAACCACATGGTGGCTCACAACCATCTGTAATGAGATCTGATGCCTTCTTCTGGCCTCCAGGGATACATGCAGGCAGAACACTGTATACATAATAAATAAATAAATAAATAAATAAGTAAATAAATAATTTTTTAAAAAGATAAGTGTAAATTTTATATGGGACAGGATTGTAAAGTCAGAATGAGTTAACACACATACACACACACACACACATACACACAATCTCTGAGAAGGACATAGCCTTACGGATTTTGAGTGGACAAAGAGACAAGGGGGAGGTATTCTGAGATGGCACAGAGGCAGGCTAGCTCAGGAGTCTGTGCAGAAGATGAAGGCTGAGGCAGTCTTTCCCAGGGTCCTCATAGTGCTGTGGCCTGGCCTGTGTCTCAAGGCTGGTGTTTCTTCTGCAGGGTCAGCCATCGCCTACTCTGCATACACGTTCCCTGATGCACTGGTCAGCAGTACTTTCCATGAATGCTACGTAGCCCTGGCTGTGTTCAACACCATTCTCAGCACTGGTCTCTCCTGCTATTCCAGGTACTGGGCTCTCTGATCTCAGGTGGGAAGCTGGGGAGGACCTAGCACGCATCCCCATGGGAGATGCCCAACACCAGGCTCCCCGTAGAGCCCCTGTTGTCTTATGTATTGGTTACTTTGCTCATTGTTAGGACAAAACACTGACAAAAGTGCCCAGGATGCCTCGCTCAAGCCTGGCAGAGAAGGTTCCTCAGTAGCAGACAGTCCTCCACTCAAAGTTATGAGTGAATGTGTTATCGCTAGGTACCTATGATGGGTGACAAAAGTGGCCACAAGTCATGCCAGGCTCCTCACCTCTAATCCTGCTATCCTTTTCCCTTTTAAGAAAGACTCTGTGGGATAGAGTGTGAGCAGTGTTGTCATGGGGACGGCTGTGCTAGTTGATGCTGGTCTTTGCAGGAATGAACTACCTGAAATCACAGGCTCCCTAGGTCGTTTAGGAAACCTTCCAGATGATTGTGGCAAGGTGACAGTCTCATCTAGATAGTGCCACTATGTCAGGAATTCACAGGTCAGGAGAGGCACCTGGGTTACATGTATGTCCCCAACTGCACTGTCCCCTCTCCAGGGAAAAGCCAGCAAAGTAGGTGTTTCCTCTTTGAGATGCTTTTGGTTCCAGTTTCCTCTGGTTGATACCAAGGTTTGGGGGAACCTGCCAAACTGGTTTTTGTTTTTTTAAATGTGGGAGGATAGTTTTTTTTTTAAGATTTTATTTATTTATCATGTATACAACATTCTGCTTCCATGTATATCTGCACATCAGAAGAGGGCACCAGATCTCATAATGGATGGTTGTGAGCCACCATGTGGTTGCTGGGAATTGAACTCAGGACCTCTGGAAGAGCAGTCAATGCTCTTAACCTCTGAGCCATCTCTCCAGCCCCGGGAGGATAGATTTTTATACAAAATCAGAAAGGCTCACCCCAGCTTGCCCTCCATTTGTCAGGATGTTTGAGAAGGGTAGGGGTAGGCATGTTTTGCTCCCCCTAGGGGTGAAAGCACCTTTCTGTGTATCCCACACTGGATTGTGTGGCTTCATTCCCTCTTCCTTACCCCATCCCAAACTGCTGGGGATGGGGAGGGTCTCTCTTTTCTTTGTGAAAATCACAGAATTCTCTGGCAGCTGGGCAGGGCTTGAATCTACCTGAAGAGCTAGGAAAATGAAATCCCTTGTCCTGGGTTGCTATGCCCTTGTAGTTCCAGGAGGAATTAGATTGTGTGGTCTATAGCCCCTGCTCCAGGGTGGAAATCTGGGGACACCACCAACGGTGGAGAGGGGTGGGGTCCCCATCTTGGATGTAGCAAGATGCATGCATGGTACGAGCCATACTTACAGTGCAGTGGAGATGCAGTGTGCCTGGGTGATCTTTTTCTCTGGCTGCCTGGACCCCTGGGTAGGCCTGGACACGCCTGAATCTGGTCTTTGGGTCAGTTATTGCCCTGTGTAGTTGGCTCCCAAGCACCTCAAAACTGGCATCAGAAGGAACAAATGCTCTGGGTAGTGGGGGTTGAAGCAGCTCACGGGTGTGAAAAATACATTCCCTATGATTAATAGGGCAAAACCGATTTCCCAGGGGCATAATAGGTGGGACGTTTGTAGCCTTTTAAGTTAATTAAGTTTTTGAAAGCACCTGACAGACCACCTGTTCGCCACCAGAGTCCACTGCTTTCTTCTAACCCAGAGTCTCCCTTGATCATGCAGGCTCAGTGGTGGGTGTTGTGGATTCAGTGAGCCTGGTGTATTTGGGTGGTGTTTGGCACTGATGCAGGGATGTCTTGTGTGCCTTCTTTTAGGCCTTCTTTCCTTGACCATGACACAGTTGGTTTCTGATGATCCAGAGAGCACATCTGGGCTATTGTCCCCACTCACCTGACCAATGTTCCTCAAAGGCTGCCTGGGCTTTGGGGACCCATGTGAAAAGTCTGCCACACCTGACAGAGTGAGGTCTTACCTAAAGAGAGTGCCAGGTGCAGGAAAGGCAGGGCACACACCAAAACATCAAAGATTCTGAGCGGGAACTGCCATTGCTCATGAAGCAGAACCAAGAGCAGGGGAAGTGTGTCGTGTCAATGTCAGATCCTAGGATACACAGGGCCTTGAGAAGTTGTCTTAGGATTGAGAGGAAGCAAGAGGCAGCCCTGGAGCTGGAGATAAGGCAAGGCCTTTGGGGCAGACCAAACAGCCTGGGCAAGAATGGTAGTGTAAGGGGTGGAGGGCCCAGGAACAGGGGCAATGCACTTTAGGGTGGGAGGGAGGATGGCTAGAGAGGGCCCCAGGGCAATCTGGCAAGTCTAGGGCTCTCAGAAGACAACCCTTTGTTCTTTGTGGACAGTCATCTTTTGAATTCTTCTTTCTGGGTTCAGCTTCCTCTCCACAGGATCCTTGAGATACGTCACCAGCAGCCGTGTGCAAGTCCTCTCATGCTGCCACACTTGTGGGGAGCTAAGCACAACATGTTCCCTTCCTGAGCCTCCCCTCATGGCCCTGCACTCAGTGTACAGCCCAGCGAGCTGTCCTTGTTCTCTGCCTCACGCCACCTGTCACTGTAGATCTTCCTTTCAGCATGCCTGTCTGGCCATTGAGTTTTGTTTGGTTTAGTGTGTTTTGATAGAAGGTCCCACTGTGTAGCCCTGGCTGCTCTGATATCCATTGTGTAGCCTATGGCTACCCTTTCACCTTATGAGAGTACCTGCCCCAGTGGTGATACAGACATCCACCACCTCTCCCAACTTCCATCAAAAAAAAAATTTTTTTTTTTTGCAAAGTCACTGAGGTTAGTATGGTGACCGTCACAAAATAATCTGGGCCAGAGGAATAATATCTCAGTATGTAGAATGGTAAAAGTTAGCCTCTAAAGGGCTGGGGGCAGAGCTGGGGCAGTGGCTCAGCAGACCAAGTTCTGGAGGCTGTGACACTTCAGCCAGGTAACAGAGTGCTGTGAAAGTGTCCCCTTTCCTGTGAATCTCCAAACTAGGATAAAACCCCCACGAAACAAAAGACAACACACACGAGTGCGTGCACACACACACACACACACACACACACACACACACACACACACACACACTTTTGTACTTTTGCAATTGAATAATTCCAATTAACTGCTTGCATCAGGCATCGGTTTTGTCATTTCAGTTTCTAAGATTTATTGACTCACCCTGGTCTTAAGGGAGGCTTCTCTCCCAATTCAGTGTTTCCTGCACGGCTTCCTGAGCAGAGAGCTCTCAACTCCAGGGTGTGTAAGCCAGCTGTGCTTTGGAAACTGTTGCTGGTTGCTTTGGAGGCATCTCGGCCAAGGCTGTTACTCTAGGAATCTCTGACTGTGGCGACATCCTGTGGTTGGATATGGAATTGCACCTGGAGTCTTCTGTGGTTAAGGGACCGTTTTCCCCCTCTGTTGCTTTCTCTATCCTATTTTTCTCCTCCTCCCCCCCCCCCCCCCCCCCCCCCGCTCTTCTTTTTGTCCCCTGTAGACTCAGCTTTGTTGCTGGAGAGGTTGGTCCGTTTGCCCCGTGAGGAAGTACTTTTTCAGGTCCGGTGACATGTGGTCTCAAGTTGCAGGAAACCCATGTTTTAGGGGACAGCCCTCAACAAGTCAGAGCCAGGTTTTCTTCACATGAAAGTGGCCACAAGGAGCACTCTTTAGGAGTGAGCCTGTCCCAGACATGGCGGATGCTTAAGGGGCCTGTTGCAGTTGGACAGCTTCTGCTAGGGTTGTGGGAAGGTGTTTCCTTTGGCCCCTGGGGGAAAAAAGACAGAGAGGCTGGGCCTATCAGGGCCAGGCAGGGACAATGTGACACTCTGTGGGACAGATACCTTGGGCTAAAGCTGAGGTGTCTGTTCTCAGCTCCTTCTGGGACCGTCCACCCAGAACCCATCTCTCTTGCTCTTACCCTCTGCTCCAGCATAGCTGTGAGATGAACTGGGAGTGGTTTGTTTGTTTTTCTAAGCTCCATTTAGTCCCTGAGCTGTGTGTGATTTGGGGACCTCATTTCTTTAAGTCTTTACAACAACACTGTGGGGGAGAGACAGATCACACACAGCTTTAGCGGCCACAGCAGTATGGTCTTCATGCGTCCAGCCTGTGTAGAAACCTATGAAACCACAGCCCTGTGGCCTCCTTCCCTAGTGTTACAGCATAGTCAAGATGGTAATTGAGTTTTGTTTTGGTTTTTTGACACTGGGTCTCCTATAGCCCAGGCTGACCTCAAATTCCCTATATAAAATATATTAAAAATGACTTTGAACTTCTGATCCTTCTGACCTCAAATTCACTATATAGAATATGTTAAATTTAATATAAAATATGTTTAATATACAAAATGTATTTAAAGTGCCTTTGAGCTCCTGATCCTTCTGACTTGGCCTCCAAGTGCTGGAATCACAGGCATGCATCACCATGTCTGGTTCATGAGTGCTAGGGTTGGAACCCGGGCTTTCTGCATGCTTGCCAGACAGGCTACCAGCCCCAGAACTGCAGTTTTGTGTGGATACCGTGCTCAACCCTAACCTCCTGATATCCAGTCTGGGTGGCTGTACTGCTTAACAGAGGGCTGTTTACCCCTCTCTAGGTCTCTACAGGCCCAGTGGTGGCCTGTCCAGGAAGTCCTGCCTCTTGCTTCTAATCAGTACAGTGGGTTCCAGTTGGATTCTGTTTTTGCTTTGGAGGGTAATGGGAAAGCTCACAGAGGAGAGAAAGACAGACCCTCTACACATTCACTTTCCCCAGGCCAGTGTTCCTGTGTTCCCCACCCCTTGAACCCAGGTCTTTGTATGGCATCACCTGGGTGGCTCCTAATGGCTGCTTCTGTAGAATGTGCGGCTGGGGGTCTGTGCTTGAGAGGCCCCTTCCTACCTTAGTGGTGTCAGCCTTCTAAAACCTCTTTGCTCCTCTGACCTTTGCAGGGTTTCTTCCTGAAGACACACATCCCCAGTCTTGGTTTGCACCCATTGCATTTCGTGCTTTCAGAGCAAGTTTCTCCTCCTTGGCTGAGGTTTTGTCCTTTCCACCAGTGTGGGAGGAGTGAGAGAGGCTTGTGGAGAAGCTGTGGGCCACAGGAGGCCATGTTAAAAATGCTTGTCCTCTGTTGATGACCCATGTGTTCGTTCGTGTGTGAGTTCCTGAAAAGCTTTCATTTCCTCCCTGACTTCAGGTTTCTTGAACTCCAGAAGCCCCGGCTCTGCAAGCTGCTCCGAGTCCTCGCCTTTGCCTACCCCTACACGTGGGACTCACTCCCCATCTTCTACAGGGTAAGGACGTGGGCTACATGGCCTCTCTTCCTGTCAGCAATGCCAGGAGCTTCATTGTTTCCTGAGCTCTGAGGGAGTCATAACCCCATAGTGGGCTCTGGGGGACCCACAGGAGTTGAGACCAGGTGCTGCGGTTAGAGATAGTGTGAACACAGAGGTCCTTGCAGACAAACTTACAAACAACTTAGGACCTTAGGAACAACCACAGAGACCTGGGCAAGTGTCTTAGGATTTCTATTGCCGTGAAGAGACACCCTGACCATGGCAACTCTTCCAAAGGGAAACATTTAATTGGCACTGGCATATAGTTTCAGAGGTTTAGTCCACTGTTGTCATGGAAGGGACATGGTGGCATGCAGGCAGACATGGTGCTGGAGAAGGAGCTGAGAGTTCTTCATCTTGATCTGCAGGCAATAGGAAGTGGGTTTTGAGCCACACTGGATGTAGCTTGAGCATAAGAGACCTCAAAGCCCACTTCCACAGTGACACATTTCCTCCAACAAGGCCACACCTCCCAATAGTACCGCTCCCTGTGACCAAGCATTCAAACACATGAGTCTGTGGGGGCCATTCCTATCCAAACCATCACAACAAGGCAGACGGCCTGAGGTTTGATAATCAGTGCCAGCTGGGGGGAAAAGGCCAATATATGTGTGGTTGTGTATTATCAGTAATATGGTGTGTTGCTGAAGGAAAGGTGGAGATAAAGGTCTTAAAGGGTAAATGAGAATGAGGCAGGATAACAGGACAGGAAGGGAAGAGACTCTCACTTGCAGGTCACATGGGCCTGATTCCAAACTCTAGTCTCCATGTTTACTTGCTGTGTGATTTAGGCAGTACACTTAAGCTTTTTGAGCCTAGGTTTCTTTATCTGTGAATGAGGCTACCATCTGCTTCTGAATAGGAGATAATGAGGATTCCTGGACAGAATGGATCTTACAGGTTCAGCATTTCCTTGGGAGTAGGCTTCTCCCAGAGGCAGTGTGAGACCCAGATGGCAAGGGGTGAGGGGACAGGGCAGTGAAGAGTTTCACTTGCTACACTGGGTGTTTTCTCTGTATTTCCCTGAGTGGGTTCACGGGAGACTGGGGGATGGGAGTGCAATCAGAGCTCTCACTGCTTCCTGGAGGGAGTCATGCAGATGCACATAGGGAGTGTCAGCTGATAGCTGTCACCAGTTACATGCAGATATCATGCCATGTGGTACTGTCTAGAGGCTGTGTGGGACAGTAGGGCGGAGGGGCAGGGGGTGGCTGCATTAATACCAAAATTACCCTGCCTAGATTCCAACCCTCATTTTGCTCATTATTGGTGGTTTGCAAGTCTGTCTCAGGCTCACTTTTCTTGTGTGCAGAATTCAGAGGTAAAGTCTGCCTTAAGGTCCCAGGAGCCAAAGGAAACACCTTCCAATCACCCCAGCAGAAGCTGTCCAACCACAACAGGCCCCATCTGAGACATAGGGATGGCTGGACTGGTGCCTCTAGTAAGGGGAAGCTACTATTGTTATTTATAAAAAATAATGCAAACATTCTGCTTAACCTTGAAGGAAAATAATGGTCATACATTGAGGTCTGCCTGGTTGATGCTGGGGATTAAGTCTAAGGTCTTCTGTGTGCGAGGCAAGGGCTCTACCATAGAGCTGGATCCCCAAGCACTGATTGATTGACTGATTAATTGATTGATTAATTGATTGATTTTAAGACAGGATCTCACTAGGTTGCTCAAGCTGGCCTTCAACTAGCTCCATAGCCTAGATGGGCCTTGAACTTCTAACATTTCTGCCTCAGGGAGTGAGTTCAAGCTTGAGTCACCAAGCCAGGCCAAATGGTGATCCTTTTTGATCATACAGAAAGGTTTCCAAGCCTTTTTGTTTATAAAGAGTTTTTTTTTCCTATCACATTTCTTTTGTGCACCCCCCAACACACACACACACACACACACACACACACACCTTTGAGTTGCAGCAAGCATATGGAAATCAGAGGACAACTTGTAGGAGCCAGTTCTCTCCTTCCACTACATGGGTTCAGGGCTTTGAACTAAGGTCATCAGGCTTGGTGACAAGGGACTTTACCCACTGAGCCATGTTGCTATCTTGCATCTAACTAAGCCTTGAAGTCTTAATTATGAGCCTCAGTTCTGTAGCTCTGCATCTGGAGTCAGGGCAGATAGCAAGGGCACCTCTCTGTGCTTGCATTTTATCTTCAGAAGGAGCAGCAATATCTAGTAGGGTTTTCCTTCTTTCTCTTTGCTCATCTCTTTCTCTCTTTCTGTTTGTTTGCTTTTTTGGTTTTTCCAGACAGGGTTTCTTTGTGTAGCTCTGGCTGTCCTGGAATTCACTCTGTAGACCAGGCTAGCCTTATACTCAAAGATCTACCTGCCTCTGCCTCCCAGCACTTAAAGACGTGTGCCACCACTGCCTGGCACTCATCTCTTTATTTGTCCTCTTCTCTTCTTTCTTTCCCTTCATCCCCACACATCTCTCCTTCAAGCTACTACCCTGAGGAGGTGAGACCTGGGCCTGTGGAACTTGTGTCTGAGAGGCGTGGGTCTAAGTAAGATTTAAGTACTGGCTTCTCAGGGCCTTTTTTTTTTTTTTTTAACATTTGCAGCTCTTCCTGCTCCCCGGGGAGAGTTCAAGAAATGAAGCCATCTTGTACCACCAGAAGCACATGGTCATGACCCTCCTGGCCTCTTTCTTGTACTCTGCTCACCTGCCAGAGCGACTGGCTCCTGGACGCTTTGACTACATCGGTGAGTGTGGTGGGGCAGGGGTGGGGGTTGAAAGACCCCTGGAGACTTAGGCCCCCAGGATCTCCATCCAGGACCGCAGCACCCCAATCACCAGTCAGAGGCGGAAACTTGATGCAAACAGCACGAGGCAAGCACGTGCTAGGCGGTTATGGCTGCTGATAGGGGGAGCTGGTCCCTTCAGGGGTGACCCTGAAGCAGAGGGTGACTCTCTTGGCTGGGGTGGAAACATCCTTGACAATGTGTATTATAGCCACAAGGCAGAGGACCTGGAGAGGAATGACCCTAGTGGGAGTTGTTATGTTTTTGTTTAAATTAGATGTAAAGAAAAAGAGGAAAGAGGCGGATGAGGCATATTAAGCAGTTTATTAGTCATAGAATTATGTCCTAAACCAGGAGAAACCTCATTGCGGTACTTGGTGTGCCAAGACCTGAGTCATAGATTCCAGGCAACATAGAGAGCTATATAGAACATCCAGCCATAGAGAGGCAGAGAGAGCATGTAGATGGGAGAAGAGAGAGCAAAGCAGAAGCAAAGAGAGTAGAGAGTAAAGAGAGCGAGCAGCAGGGAAGTTGGGACTTTTAAAGGGAAGACTGTGCATGCGCAATGAGGTCCAACGCATGCCCAGAGTCCTCACACAGGCAGTAATGCGTGGCGAGTGATGTGGTGATGACATAGCACGTTTTCCTGTGTGTGCCCTGACTGTTGTCAGGGGGCGGGGTGAGGGGGTCTGTCTCTTAAAGAGATGCCGATCAGCATTAAAGCCTGAACCTTTCAGGAGTCATCCAGGCTCAGGTCATGGTAGGTACAGCAGTGACCTTAAATCTTGATTGAAGCCATCATTTGTGTTGCTAGTGTACTTCCAGGGACAGGGAGGATGGGGACAGGTAGGCTCAGGACCCTGAAGCATTCCAGTGAATCCTGTTGGTACCTAGAGTCTAACTTCCCAGTACAATATGATGGGGGGTGTGGCAGCCACAGAGGGGAAGCAGGAAGATGGCTTTGTGGTCACTCAAGGTCCCAGACTACAGGCAGCTTACAGAGGAGAAAGTCTATCTTGAACATGGTGGGTGGATGGCCTGGATTCTTGTGGAACCGTAGGTCCCAGGTGCAGCTTCCAGACCCAAACTCAGACCTCCTAACCCAAGAACTCCAAAGCTGGGGCAAGTCCAGCGCTCACAGAGACCATGTGACACTGGAGGGAGCCTCGCTAAGTATGACTTGAGAGGGCATGTGATTGGGAGAGGTGTCAGAGCACAGGAAGGAGCTCCTAGCTGCTGCAATGTTCCCTCCCCTTCCTCCAGAGCAGGATGGGTGGGGCTCTTCCCACCTGCCCCATCTGTCTCACCTGGCTCTGACACTGCCTGGGAAGGAAGCACCTGTGTCTTTTCTGTTTCTGTGACCAAAACCTCAAGGGTTTATTTTGGTTTCTGCTTTGAGGGTATGCCCCAAGATGATCAGGGAAGGCATGGTGGCGAGCATGAAGCAGTAGGTAATATTGTGCCCAGTCAGGAAGAGGAGAGAGACGAACCTGTTGCTCGGCTTGCATTCTTTGTATCCAGTCCAGACCCCAGCCCATGAAATGGCAGGTTCTCCCACCTCAGTTAACCCAGTGTAGAAACTCCCTCACAGGCATACACAGAGGCTTGTCTCCTGGTGGCTCTAGAGACCGTGAAGTTGACAGTATTAGCCATCACAGCACCTTTGGGTGGCTTCTGTAGATGGTGACAAGCCTTTAAAACAAAAGTTCCTTAATTAGATACTATGAGACTTCAAAGGCCGGTTACTGTCCCCACCACAGCAAGCACCTAGGCTCTCGCCAAGCCACTTTTGCCCTTGACTGGAGTCCTCTCCACCTCCTTCAGAGATGCAGCCCGATAGGTTTTGTGATCTGATTAGAGTCTCACTTTTCTCCTTTGTCCTACCAGAAGGGACTGCCTCTAGCCAAATGCTTAGAGAACAGGGTCAGAGATCAGGAACTGGAGGCCCTTAGGCCTCTAACTACCACCTACTTCAGCCCCACCTTGAAGGAAGACAGCTGTAGATGACAGCTGGGGGACCACAGGGACATACAGGGGTGTATCACAGACTGGGCATTACTTGCCAGCCCTTTGGCTTCTCTGTGCTTTTATTTATTCTCTTTAGTCCTGTCCTTTTGAACCTAAAGATATGTAGCAGAAAAATGCTTGTGTCGTAGGGGAAGGCGCTTTCCAGGCCTGGTTAGCCCTGGCCTACAGGAAGCTCCTGAGACCTGGTAGGTAGGATAGTTGAAGCCACTCTTCCCGTTGGGGCCCTTTCAGATGCTCCCATTGCTGGTGGCATGTCTGTTGCTCATCTCTCTAATGGAAATGGGTTTAGTGAATGCCTGTGAGTCAGGGTTCTGTGTTTGGCACCGTGTCACAGCTACAGCAGATCACTTGCCTGCATCGAACACGTATCTGGAGTTGGGCACAGCCTGCTCTTTGAACTTGATTAAGGCTTGGTGCCATTTACTCATCTTCCCCCTAGGACAGGAGGGGGCTGGGGCTGAAGGAAAGTTGCAGGCATGCTTGCCAATGTTCAGCAATCCTGGTTCAGCTCCTACCTGAAGTGGAGGTGCTGTGGCCAGGCACCCCTGGAGCCTGAAATGGGTTTTGTGGTACCATAAAGTGCTTTCTCATGCATTATTTTTTAATTGTGTGTTAATTTGTTTAATGTGTCTGTGTGCTACTGTGGGCATTAGAGGTCAAAGGTCCTGCAGGAACAGGCTGTCACTTTCTACCATGTGGTCCAGGGTATTGAATTCAAGTTGTCAGGCTTGGTGGGAGGTGCCTTTCCCACTGAGCCTTCTCTCTCACACACATCCCCCCTTTTTTAAAATTTAATTTTTAGATAGGCTCTCAACATGTAGTGGAGGCTGGCCTTAAACTCAATACATAGCCCAAACTGGGCTTGAATTCATGACCTTCCTGTCTCTGCCTAAAGAGTGCTGAGGGACCAGTAGGTGCCACTACACTTGGATATAGCTATCTGGAGATGGAGAAGCCTCCTCCTCCTCCTCCTCCTCCTCCTCCTCCTCCTCCTTTCTCTTTTTTTTTGGGGGGGGGGTTTCAAGACAGGGTTTCTCTGTGGCTTTGGAGGCTGTCCTGGAACTTGCTCTTGTAAACCAAGCTGGTTTCACAGAGCTCCGCCTGCCTCTGCCTCCCGAGTGCTGGGATTAAAGGCATGCACCACCAACGCCCGCCCAGTGTGAGAAGCCTTCTTTAATGGTCATGTTGTATTGGTTTGTTAGGCCTGCAGTTTTCACACACAAGGGAAATTCTGCATACAAGTGTGGGTGGCCAGCACAACAGAACACTATTCTCTCACATTCAGAAGGCTGACAGTCTGAGATGTAGTTGTCAGCAGGATGGTGTCTTCATCATTTCCTTGGCCTGGGGATGAGTACCTTTCCACGGTCTTTGTGGGATTCTTCCTCAGTGTAGATCATATCCAGTGGATTAGGGCCCCACCCCAGTGACCTCACTGGAATTTAACTGTCTCTCCGAAGATGGCCTTGTCATGTCTCTGATGAGCCATAAGTTGAGACAAGAACACTTGGGAAAAGGCAGATGGAAAACTCTGGCTCTTCCAATAAGGTGGAAGTCAGAATTAGAGCCGGAGAAGAGCAGGGTGCCCACATTTTCGTTTGGAAAATGGGCGTGAAGGGTAAGTTGCTTTAGAAAAGGAATTTTGCTCATTAGTCTTTCTAGTTTTCTCATGTTGATTTCTAAAAATAAATACAGTAGAGAGTTATATTAGGGCCAGATTCTCTAGCATAGAACCACACACACACTCACACATGGGTGGGGTGGGGTGGAGATGGGGTCTCCTCAGCTAACTCTGAATCCCAACAAGTTAACAATTAAGATCAGTTACCACAGTATGTGTGACTACTTACTATCCCACTGACGAGTCACAATTCAATGTTACTTTCAGCAGCTAGGGAGAGTCACACCTGCAGTCCCAATGCTTTGAAGACTGGAACAAGAGGACAATGGCTATTAGTGAGTTCAAGGCTAGCCTGAGTGCCACAGCAAGAAACTGTCACAAATAAGAACAGAAACAAAAACAAGGGTATATAATTCTTCCAGTGGATGTACCAAAATGTAAATCCATTCTGGACATGTCTACAACTCAGTATAATCCCTTCTGTCCAGGCAGTGAGAATTCCCATTTCTACTCTCTGCCAAAGCTTCACCTATTCTGGACATTTTTAAGGTGGTTTTTTTTTTAAGATTTTATTTATTATGTATATAGTATTCTGCTTCCATGTACATCTGCACACCAGAAGAGGGCACCAGATCTCATAATGGATGGTTGTGAGCCACCATGTGGTTGCTGGGAATTGACCTCAGGACTTCTGGAAGAACAGTTGATGCTCTTAACCTCTGAGCTATCTCTCCAGCCTGACATTTTTAAGTTTTTTTTTTTTTCTTGGTTTTTCGAGACAGGGTTTCTCTGTAGCTTTGGAGGCTGTCCTGGAACTAGCTCTTGTAGACCAGGCTGGACTCAAACTCACAGGGAGCCACCTGCCTTTGCCTCCCAAGTGCTGGGATTAAAGGCGTGCGCCACCAACGCCCAGCTCATTTTTAAGGTTTAAAAAAATGTTTGTATGTGTTCATATGTATGAGTGAGTGTGTGTGCGTGTGCATGTGTACGTGTGGGTGTGTACTTGAGTGCGTGTGTGCACACATTAGATTTACATTCTGAGGCTAGAGGAAGATGTTAGGTGCCATGCTTTATCATTCTCTGCCTTGTTTGTTGCTTTAATCTGCCACTGAACATGGAGCTCAGCTGAAAACCACAAGTCCTAGATATCCTCCTGTTTCCACCTCCACAGCACTGGGTTTAGAGGCATGCCTGACCATGCCTGGCAGTTTACACCAGTACTAGGGATTAGAATTCAGGCCTTCATGTTTGTACAACAGTCTTATACGGAACCATGTTCCTAAGCATTTCTTTCTTTTTTAAACATAATTTTTAATTGATTCTTTGGGGATTTCATATCATGCATCCCAATTCCGCTCATTTCCTAGTTCCTCCATATCCACCCCCCAAATTTTTTAAAACTTAATTCAAAACAAAACAAATAAACAACAACAAAAACCCCATTTCATTCCTCCATCTTTCCCACCTCTCCATCACCTCTTCATTCTTCTTAGAGCGATTGGGAGCTGCAGTGTGTCATGCAATGTACCCTTTTGTCCACTCCACTTTACTTGCAAATGTTCATTGTAATGAGTTACGGTTCTGGTTCAAGGCCTCTGGCTTCTGGTACACCACTAGATCCTCACCAAAACTCCTCCTGGATATCTCATCCTGCCATTGCCCGGTATCATGGAGATCCCAAGGCCATGGTTCTGTAGGACCAGTCCCTTTATGCACTCAGGCAGGTCATGGATGGTGTAGATGCTGGAGTGGGCCAACTCAAAGCCCTGGATGTGGATCTGGGTGGTTCTTTGGTGGAAACACAGGCCATGGATGTCAACATAGACCCCAGCTCTGGTAGGACCACAGACCCAGACATGGCTCATGGCAGCAGCCTGGGCCCAGATGTCACCTTGGTCCCAAGTGGTGGCACAAGCCACTCAGATAAGTATGGCACAGCTGGAGCATGGCTCTCAGACAGCAACATGGCCTTAGGTGGCGGGCCCAACCACAGGCATCCATTTGGTCTTCAATGGTAACTGAAGTATGGACACCGACACAGACCTGGCTGCAGTAGGGTCATTGAAAGGTTCAGGCATTATGCTGGCCTGCCCCTGTTACCTGGTGAAATAGGCAGTACCCTTGTCAGCCCAAGGTTCCATGGGAACTAAGTCTACACACAGGTGCAGAGGACCCCTTTAAAAGATAAGTCCCTGCCTCTGTTTCTCTGTTTCTCTGTTTCTCTGTTTCTGTTTCTCTGTTCCCACTTTGTTCCTCTGTTCTCCTCTCTCTGTTTCCCCTGCTCTGTCTCTCTATGGCGACCGGCCATGGCGGTCAGCCATTTACCCCTGTTCCTCTTCTTAGTCTCCCCATTCTGCCGGGCCTTATAATAAACTTATAGTCAATATGTCTGTCTCAGCAATTTCTCTTTTCTTCTTTTTAAACAAAACAATAACAGTCATGAACCCTGATGTGTCCCTCAGCTGCAGCTCGGGCCCTGATGACACCAAGGCCACTCAGATTGGCATGGCCACTATGGCAGCACAGTCCTCAGACACCAATATGGCCACAGGTGGCAGCCCAGACCCTGGGGCATCAATGTAGCCTTTGGTTGTAATGTGGGCAATGGGTGTCAACACAGACTGGGATTGTCAACTACCCTACTGGGGTAGGACCATGGCCCTGGGTGGCAAGCAGGCCACCTACATTAGCTTGTTTCTCACCACCTTTGCTTCTTCAGTTCTGTCTCTTTCCACAGCACAAGAACCAGCCCACTTCTCGCTCCCATTTCTCCACCATATATTTGCTCATCATAATGGCATCTATCTGCCTGGCACTGCAGGCCTGTGAATGTCTTCAGCCAGCCCGTGTCCATGAGGATACAGGCACACCTATGGCTCTTTCACCTGCCTCTCTAAGAATTTCTTACAAGTGGAATTATAAAACTAGTGTGGTTGCACAAGCCTGTAATCCCAGCACTCAGGAGGTGGAGACAGGAGGATCAGAATTCAAAGTCATCCTCAGCTACAGAGTGAGTTCAAGTCAAGTCTGGGCTACATGAGACCCTGTCTCTGAAGACAATCAGCAATGAAATAAGTTAAACAAACAAATAAAATCATATGTGTGATCTCTGGCCTGGATCCTTGGATTTAGCCGTTGCATTTTTAGCATACATATCATAGTCTGTGTCCATATATCTTTTGATCGATGACTATATATATATATATAAATATATATATATATATATATATATATATATTGGAAAACACAAGCCATAACATGCAGAGGCCAGAGAACAACTAGTGGGAATGTATATTCTCTTGAGGGTTGCAGGAGTGGCAACCTGGTTACCAGGCTTGGCAGCAGGAGCCACGGAGCCATTTCTCTGGTTCTGAATGGTAATCTTGATGACCTTTTGTGTTTTTTCATAGGTCATAGTCACCAGCTGTTTCACGTGTGTGTGATCCTCGCCACACATTTGCAGATGGAAGCCATCCTCCTGGACAAGACTCTGAGGAAGGAGTGGCTCTTGGCCACCTCCAGACCCTTCTCTTTGCCTCAGATAGCAGCAGCCATACTTCTATGTATCATCTTCAGCCTCAGCAACATTATTTATTTCTCAGCTGCTCTGTATAGGATCCCTGAGCCTGAATTACATGAAAAGGAAACGTGATTTCAGAACATGCCAGGCTTCAGTGTTAAGTCACTGGTGTGGTGCCAGCTTACAGTGGCCAAAAGTATTTGTAGTGACTGGTGTCTTGACAGTTTTTTTAATGGGTTCAATCACAAAAAGTATTTAGCTGGGGGAGAGTTCTGTACACATGCACTGATTCCGTAAGTGTTCTGTAAAAGGGAGAAGTCCTTTTTAAGTCCTGGGGAAGAAAATTATTGAAATAAGTTTTAAATTTATTTAAGACGGGGTATTTACGGGATGGGGATATAGCACAGTTGGTAAATGCTTGCCTACAATATATAAAGCCCTGAATTTGTTTATGTCTGGTTTTGTTTGTTTGTCTGTTGTTTGTCTGTTTGAGATAGGGTCTCACTATGTAGCTCAGGATGTCCTGGAATTTACTAGGTAAACCAGGCTGACTCTAAACTCAGAGATATGCCTGCCTCTGACTCCTCAGCACTGTGATTAATGGCATGCACCACTATACTGAGTCCCTGGTTTTGACCCTCAACAAAGCATGAACCTGGCCTGATGGTACATGCCTATAATTCCAGCTCCAGAGAAGTAGATCAGATGATCAGAAGTTCAAACTCATCCTTGGCTATTAAGTGAGTTTAAGGCCATCCTTGGATTCATGAGATTCTGTCTCTAAAAAATAGAATTCTCAATTCTATTTAAACAGTTGTATTAAGCATATTGCCATGCCATTCTAATTTTTATATTAATGTTTAAAATGAAACCCACTGCATTTGATGAATTTTGTATAGCTAAGCTTCTTCCCCAGATGAGAGAGATGTTTCAATGAGTTAAGAAGCTTCCTGCCAAGCCTGACAATGGGAGTTCCATCCCACAGGACCTGCTGCAAAATATTCCACAGTACAGACAAAATGTGTTGATCTCTAGAGCTAAGTGTGTCATCCCAACTGGTAGGGCTCCCTGTCACCTTTTCAAGCAATGAAGGAGCTGTCTTTGGAGATGTTACATGCCTGACATTGTTTTCGCATGTCAGTATGCTGCTGGACTTAGTGTCTGCAGAGGGTGTTGAAGACCTCACCCATGGGACAGTCAAATGTCCTGGGAAACAGAAACACCAGGTAAGCTTGTAACACGAATTTCCTGGGGTGGACCTAGGGGTTCTGCTTTCCTAGGTTAAAGACAGCTTTTTGTAGAGCAAATGTGGAAAAGAGCATATCTGCAAGAGGTCTTCCACACAGGAGGGCCAGGAGCAAAAGCTAAAGACATTTGTGGTGTCTTTCATTTATAGCTTGGTCAAAGCTCCAGCAATCTAGGGAGATACCTTGATCGCGTAGGTGCTTTTCCCAGAGCAAGGCTTACCCATTGCTGTCCAGATGTGCTGACCCCTTCAGTTTCCCCAAATGTGGGAAATTCAACTGCAAAATTTGTGGTAGTGGAGGGACTGTGTGTTTATGCTGTCCCCTAGAAGAAAGAAAAAGTTGCAGCAACCTGCCATCTATGTGCAAATTCCTGCTTTCTCTCCAGAGTTTTTTACTATCAATAACATTTTTTAAAGAGGTTAAAATAAAAAAAAAGTCTTGTAGGTCAAACCCTGGACTAAAAAGTAAGTAAAGCCAGGAAGGAGGCTGGAAGGAGAGGCTCTCAGGCATGCATGCTGATTTAAAGCTCTCTGCTTCCTGTGTGTGGATGAAATGAGGTCAGCTATCTTCCTGACTGCTGGGCCAGCTCATATTCAGGACCCATGCCTTCCCTGCCATGGTGGATGGCAGTATCCCTTCTGGAACAATAAGCTCAAATAAACCCCTTCCTTTTTTTTTGGTTTTTCGAGACAGGGTTTCTCTGTGTAGCTTCGGAGCCTATCCTGGCACTTGCTCTGGAGACCAGGCTGGCCTCGAACTCACAGAGATCCACCTGCCTCTGCCTCCCGAGTGCTGGGATTAAAGGTGTGCCCCACCAACGCCCGGCCCAAATAAACCCCTTCTTAAAAAATAAATAGTAGCAAGAAATCACACCACACACACAACAACAACAACAACAACAACAACGAAACACTGCTAAGAGCCATAACCTTGTTCAATGATCTTTGCAGCCTTACACAGAAAATACTTGTGCAGGGGCATCTAACCATAGCTTCCTGTCTGCCCTTGGACCAATGTTACCCTTGCTATTGATGCTTAAAACCAAATATTACTGTATTCATACACAACATAGCATCCTCCTCATTTTGCCTTAACAATTTTGCCCCTTATAGGGCTGAAGATGGCTTAGTGGGTAAAGTGCTTGCTGTGCAAACATCAAGATGCGTTCAGATCGCCCAACATACACCATGGAAACCTAGGTGTGGTTGCACATAACCTGTAACCCCAGCACCAGGAACAGAGATAGGCAGGCCTTGGGAACTAACTGGCCAGATAGTCTATCTAAACACAGAGGCTTAGTGAGAGGTTCTATCTCAGCAAGGTAGAAGCAATGGAGGTGAAAGACCACAGACCCCTAAGGGCCTCAGGGTCCTGAGGAGCCCCGGAGACTCAGAAACCAGACCAAGAGCTGCAAAAGCAAAAGGGTTTATTGAACGAATGCATATTTGGGTGTCAGCAATATCGGGCAAGCTGCACACCCCAGCATGGTGTGCAAGCTCCTTATATAGGAAAAAACCGGAGATCAGCATACAGGCAAGGGGCACAAAGTGATTGATTACAAAGTATGATCTCATGTTAGAGTGGTCACCCAGGTGTGACCTGCTTTTCTACAAACGAAAAACCACAGAATGAATGTACCCTGAAAAGTCTCCGATTGTCTGTTGGCCAGGTGTGACCCAAAAAGGATTGTTTGTCTGCCCTGGAGTTGGGGCCAATTTCCTTGTCCTGAGCCAAGGCCTGTGGGAAACTTTTTCTCTCAGCAAACTAAAATCTTTCAGAGGTAGACATTCTGATGTCAGCCTCTGGTCCCACATGCATCATCATGGATGAGAGTATCTAGGCACGCTTGTTAGGTCCAGTGGACTTGTCAGGTCCATACCTGAGAGTGGAGTGTGAATTGAGGAAAGAAACGGGCCAGAGACAGAAGATACAGTGAATACCAGGGTCCACCTTAGGTTTATTGCTCAAAATTCTTTATAGCCCAACCAAAGGGGGTGGGGGCAAAAGATTTCTTTGCCATGATACTAGAAATAAATGGACTTAATTACTTCCTTAATTCTCCAAACATTTAGTAACCACTCCTTATATCAAACCTCTTGTTATTTAGCCTTGAGGATTAAGATGTCTAGTAACCTTAAATCAAGGATTCTGTAATCTAGGTAAGACATCCACACTTTAGGCCAAACATCCTTCAGTGGCCATACCCACATCTTAGACCTTTGGGTCTTAGACCTTTAACCTTGAAAGAGCAAGGGTAGTTTTGAACTCTCTGATCCTAAATCAATATGGAACAGAGCCACCTCTGTGGGCCCGGACACACACACACACACCCTTTCCTAGACTCCTCATGTGCATGTAATTTACCACAGGGTGCAGCCATTGCAGCACTGTTCTGGATTCATTTGTTGTCTTTAGAGAAGCTCTGTTATTTAGGCTCATGATACCTAACACAGCAATTTCTTGTTTGTTGCATTAGTAATTAAGGCTCAGCATTTTATAGTGTTCTCAGGGAGTCCAGAAATGCTGATACAAAACAAATTTTAAGAGAGGTCCATCAACACCTGATCTGTGCTTGATAAAGACTTTGGGAGGCCATCCATCACAGTGGTAGGTCCTCTTTGCTACCTCTGAAATACCCTCTGGCCTGTAACACCCACTCCAGGATTAAGCAGTTCAGCCATGCCAATGGCCTTGCCAGTAGCTCACAGTGTCATCCTTTAACGACAAGAGCCAAAGTATTTTGGATGTGAGTGGTCAAGAAATATGGTTTCATTGTTTTATTGTCTGTTTACTTCTCATTCAGGAAGGGAGACTGATGCAATTATATGGGCTGGTAAATTTTGTTACATTAATTGCAAGCTGCACAATAAATTTTGTTCTTTAATAGCAGTCTGACATTGTTCATGGCATTCCCCACTATTTTACATTCTCACAGCCCCAGTTTTATGGTGGAAAGAAAAGGTGTAAAATTGGGCTGGGTGTGTGGCTCAGTTGGTTGTTTTTGACTGGCATGCCCTGGGCTTTGATACCCAGCACTGCATATGCTAGGCATGGTGTTACATGCCTGTGATCCCAGCATTTGGGGTATGGGGACAGGAGGATCATCAGGTCACACACTGCTACGTAGTCTGAGGCCAGTTTGATTCATTAGGCAACTAACAATGATAACTCTAGTTCAGTGTTTCTTAACCTGTTAGTCACCACCTCTTTAAGGATCAAGCAACCCTTTCACAGGGGTTGCCTAAGACTATCAGAAAACACATATGTTTACAGTACAACACATAAGAGTAGCAAGATTATAGTTATGAAGTAACAACAAGAATAATGAACCACTGCACTAGTTGTTGAGGTTTCAAGGCCTCATTCTGGTCTCCAAGGGTACACAAAACTTCATACACTAAACTCTCTCTCTCTCTCTCTCTCTCTCTCTCTCTCTCTCTCTCTCTCTCTTTTGGTCTTTCGAGACAGGGTTTCTCTGTGTAGCTTTGGAGCCTATCCTGGCACTCGATCTGGAGACCAGGCTGGCCTCAAACTCACAGAGATCCGGATCCGCTTGCCTCTGCCTCCCGAGTGCTGGGATTAAAGGCGTGTGCCACCAACACCGGGCTTAAAACAATCTTTAAAAAGCAAACAACAAAAACAGTAGGTGTAGGGCCAACACTCTGGATGCAGAAGTGAACAAAACCTTTGAGGCCTGCTCTTGAGAACCTAGCCCTGGATGGGCAGATAAATCCAGAAAAAGGTAATTAGGGTAAAGGAAACAGACCTAGGGGACTCAGGAGGAAGGTAGCCCAGTGAAATGCCCAGCACAGCTCAGGAGAGACTTCAGGGGCCAAAGGAGCTGTGCTGGCTGGGGAGTATTGGACAGACATTTCAGGCCTTAGGGCCAGTGAGGGCTGTCTTACTGGAAGGAGAGGAGCCAGGCCATTCCTTCCAGCAATGCTGAACTGCACTCAGGAAGACAATGACGAATTCTGGAATGTTCTGCGTTTTCTCCAGAGAGATTGCTCAAGGGCTTTCCCATCTCCTTTCTAAGTGCGGAATGCCTGCAGTCCTGCATTAAAGCACCTCTGGCAAGACACTTATCAGCTGCCATCTTGTCTAAGCATCAGCTTTCGAGAACTGACTTTGCTTTGGCCCAAAAGAAAAACATGTATATCAAAGAACTTTATGCAGGCTGTTGCTCTTGCAGGAGACCCAGGTTTGGGTCCCAGCACCCACACAGAAGCTCACAATGACCTGTAACTCCAGTTCCAGAGGATACAGCGTCCTCTTCTGGACTCTGTAGGTGTGGCATGCATATAGTGCACACATTCAAGAAAATAAAAATTTAAACACATTTTTAAGGGCATGCTGTCTTTGCAAAGGACTTGAGTTTGGTTCTCAGCACCCACATTAGGTAGCTCACCACCACCTGGAACTCTAGTTCCAGAGGAACTATGGCCTTTTAAGGTGCATACCTATACAAGCAACACACACACACACAAACACATATATACTTACAAAAGAAAACTTTTTTTGTCTTTTTTATTTAAATTATTTAATTACCACTCATATTTACATATCCATCCCCCCCATTCCCGAGCCCTCCCATCCTCCCATGTTCCATGTTCCCCACAAAAAAGAAAACATCTTAAGACAGATTTTTTTTTATACATGCTATATTGTTTTCCTTCATAATTGCTATTACTGGGCTACATCCCCAGTCCTTTTTTTTTTTTTTTTTTTTTTTTTTTTTTGAGACAGGGTCTCACTATATAATCTTTGCTGGCTGGCCTGGAACTTGCTATATGCTGGGATTAAAGACATGATTAAACAGGTTTGGCTTGGCCCAGGTGACTTTTTTTTCTATTCCTTTTTTGTTTTTTGTTTTTTCGAGACAGAGTTTCTTTGTAGCTTTGGAGCCTATCCTGGAACTCATTCTGTAGACCAGGCTGGCCACGAATTCACAGAGATCTGCCTGTCTTTGCCTCCTGAGTGCTGGGATTAAAGTCATGCACCACCACCACCTGGTGCACAAACACATTTTAAAAACTAATAAAGCTGGCAGCCACTGTTAACCTTTAACAACCTCTTTCTGCCTTAAGAGCAGACATCTGGCAGCCACTGTGTACAGAGGTAAACTTTGAACAATTTTCTCCTGTCTCCCAGCCTCCCAGTGAGGCAGGTACAGTGGACAAAGGTTAGTTTCTAACTATTGCCTCTATGGGACCCTCTGTGTTGTATTCCCTTAATTTTTAACTGTCCTCCTATGTGACTATTCTCTGCCTTGCACTCTTTCAGGGACAGTGAAAAGCGGCTGTGTTAGCCACAGGCTTTTGCAAA